GATCGAACGACTCCTTAAAATAAGTACCTTTACCATCCTTACGGGTCATAAGCCCGTAGCTTCTTCCCTCGAGAAATTCGTCAGTTGAATTACATATCACAGTTTGCCACCGACGTTCGACAAATTTATACAGCTCACAATGTTAAATCTAACACATCGTTCGGAATCAGTATTCACTAGAGAAACAATCAATGTAGAAGAGATCACTGCTTATCAAGAAACAGACCCTGAGTTTGAGCACTTGAAAAGAAATCCTTTGAATAAAATTGCTCAACTGCCTGTTCACAACTAGGACTTTCGGCGATAAGGTGGCATATCCACTGAAAATCCTCGACCATGTGTTCCGCAACATTATTGACTAGCTGTGTTTGACCACTTGTATGGAATCTCCCATCCGAACAGCCGCTCTACCATATAACGTATTACGGATCGCTACCTCTGGACCAGCATGCGCTCTGCTATCCAGCAGTGAACGAAACACTGTAGTAGCTGCTATAATAGAAAGATACATCGCCACCCTACTACTGTTCCCGGAACCTTTTCTCTGCCCGACGCTCGATTCAAGCATATCCATCTTGAAATCGTTGGACCTCTACCGCCATCTAACAGTTTTACTTACGTGTTGACATGTGTCGATCGTCTCATACATGGGCCACACTTCGTGTAGAGAGGCCGCTTCCAAGAATGGCTCTGGGGAGCTCTTCGGAGCTAGCTGAGAGCGGATCGCGAAAGACGGCTAGCGACGAGTCTGGGCCCGGAACTACGGAGCGGGAATATGTGGACAGCGCAATAAATCAGACAAATACGCCGCTAGCGCAGCCCACAGGACCGAGGCCGAGCCGATTGACACAGCCCAGAACAAGCAAGTCGAGAGCTCTCGAACGACTCCTGGCCGATCCAAATCGGATGCAGAGAAGCGGAGATCGAGGCGAAAACAGGAAGGCGGATCTTCCAAGTCAGAGCTCCCGAGGCGAAAGGACTGGCTCGTCTCCAACATCCGTACCTGTGTTGCGTGGTGGGACGGAAATCTAGTCGATATTCGATGGCGCGCGCGAGACCCTCATGTGCCCATTTTCGGTGTGCAATAAACGTCTACCCCCCTGTCGTGTCGTTCTCTCTACATTCGTGCCGCTGCGAGATGTCTCAGCCGACACAGTGGTACGAACTTTCCTCGATACTTGGATATCCGTGTTTGGTACCTCCGCCATTATCACCACGGAAAGAGAACCCCAATTTAATTTTGCACCATTTCGCGACCTAAACCGCATGCTTGGCTGTTCGCATTTACGCACGACAGCATATCATCGGTCAGCTAACGGTTTAGTAGAGCGTTTTCACTGCCAACGCAACGTCACACTCACTGCGACGCAGTCAACTACCTATTGGTCGGAGCGTTTACCGATCATTCTCCTCGGTATCCGCACCATTTTGAAGGAAGATGTCGGTTGTTGTCCCGCAGAATTAGTATTCGGTATGACATTGAGACTTCCTGGAGAATTAATACTGGATTCAAGCATCACCGGTGAAGTGGATCATACGTCGTGTTGTACAACTGAAACAATGCTTCAGTGTCATTCGTCCAATTTCACTGCGATTCACTGCTCGAAACCAACATCTTCACCCCGACTTGCATACGTGCCCCTTCTTTTACGTACGCATTGATGCGGTTTGCAAGCATTTGACACTGCCTTACGTAGGCCATTCGAAAGCCATCGTTCACAAAGACACGTATTTCGGATTGGACAGAAACTTTTCCAAAGGCTGTCATTATTGATGGTCTGCAACTAGCCTACGTCGAATTCCAGTCACCGCGCCAGATTCCTGACACTGAGGTTGAAAACGCCTCACGAACCCAACCGACTTACGGCTCCAGTGCTCCCTCTCCTCCCCAACCAGCACTGATCACAAACGGACACAAATGCGTACACGTTTTAGACGTGCAGTTATTCTTCCTTCTATACTAGTTACACACGCCAGATAGCACATATCGAGCGTTCCCCTTCTTGATTCACGCTCTAGGGGGAGTTCTGTAGCTACAACGAGTTAACTCCACATTACATGATCACGGATATCCAGAGAAGTTCACAGCACGACACTCAAACGCGAACGCGAGTACTAGGAACGAACGGGTGCCCGACATCCATAAGAAAATAGTTTTCAAAGGCGACCAACATGACAGGAGATTTCGATACCGTCGCCGTCAATCCGTGAAAAGTCTTATTACGCCGCTGAGGTTGTGCTTTTGCACCAAGGTAACAAGCTGCTGTTTAAATCCAACCTGGACAGGCAAGACTATCGAGTTACCGCCACAATTATTTGTAAGTTTCACTGTACTTGCGGTAGCAAGTACGTTGGCCAAACTGAGCGAACACTGCCCACAAGAACTTCAGAGCATATTCCACGAAACCTGGACACAAATAGTCAAACGCTTCCTGCCAGTTCAATTGCTCGACACATACTTGACTGCTCCATGTGTGAAAACCCTCGTAAATCATTTAGCGTAACCAACCAACAGAGCGTCGCCCATCGGTTTCAGTTCACTGAGGCATCGGCAATTAGGCGGCTGAAACCTAGTTTATGTAAACAGACAGCGTTTGTCGCCAGTCTAGCACTGCCTCGGTGAGGCTGGTGGCCACATTCCTCTAGGCGGAGTGCCGGCCAGCATCCGATGAACTTTGACCGTAGCCCACTTTGATGGAAGGACTCTCGGCTGGGTCTTATGCATTGATCATGCAGCAAATCATCGACGTCAATGGGAACCAGTATCTATGATATACGTATATGAACATGTACAATGTTGCCTAAGTTAGGTGGAACGGCGTGTGTCAGGTCTTCGTATTATCGGTAACTCTCGATGTACTGTATAACGACCGGTTAACGACACACGGTCTATCATTGCAGCGAGAACCCACTGTAATCGCAGTTTACATTAACTATCGCTATCCCCTAGCGAAGCTTCGCAACGCCAGAGTCAATTCCAACTGACGGTCATGATGTAGCGCACTCGGGGTGGTCCCATATAGTCTTTGAAGGAACGTATAAGTAAACGTTAACAAGTAATATATCCGTGGTGTTAGACGGGTTACAGATCGAGTAGGTGAAAAGCACGTGTATAGTTATTTCGTACATGTTGCACCATTTGTTTATCGTGGTGCAGCGTCACGCAGGCACGTACATTTTAACAACTTGCTCCAAGAACTGCGTCCTCCACTCAGTCTTGCTCAGTACGCCATCCGGATCCCCTCGGATCATTTCGGAACATCGCCGCCTCATGGGTTGTTTAACATAGACCTTAACGATACTCCAAATACCTTCGATTGCATTCCGTTGTGGATAGTACGCTGCCGGTCGCAGAAGTGCTCCTGAGCTGTAAGGCTTCTCTTAGAAGATACTCTCCAGATCGGTGTAACAGGGTGCGTTATAACAAATAAGGAGACAACTTTTTGCGAAATGGATGACTTTGATGTCAAGCAGTAGTCGCAACCACCGCGCACATCTCACTTTAGTAGACCACCCTCTAATGACAGAATATCTGAGCCATCCATCCTCATTCATCGCACTGATCAGATGAAGATTTTGTCCCCGGGTTCCAAGTGCTGAAAGTCCGCTTGTGCGAACGCAGAATAGATTAAAGTTTGTCTCATCTATCCATACTGCTCGCCGTCCTTCTACCTCCAAGTTCATCAACTTCAAAACGTAAGCCTTCCTTAGCCTTTTCCTCTCCATCGTATTCATGGGGTCCGGTATTGCATGTAATTCCTTCGTTGTCATGAGTCTACCGTCTGCGTAACGGGCGATTGTGCTGACGCTGACGTCCACCTCGAACTCCAGCTTCCGTCGTCACCGAAGAGTTTCCAAGGTAAACGTAGGGTCCGCTTCCACCTACTCCATCAGGCAATCCACGTGACTATCTGACAGACACCATCGACGCAACACGCTAGGAGCTCTTGTCGGCTCATTCAATCCCAATGTTCTAATCCACATTCTACATGTCTGTACATTTACCTGTAACATAGATGCAATGCCCTTCCAGTCATTGCCCGCTTCATTTGTTTACATAATTAGAGCCTTTACGTCGGACGAATGTTGGGCGTACCTTCTACTTCTTCCCATTGCGCGTAATTTGAGTTAAAGACTAAAAGAACTATATAAATCAAACTAGAGATAAACATGGTAGGTGAACTAGGAGGAAGATTTGCCGTTCGTTTTGCCCACTGCGTGGGGTTCCCGTGCAACCCGACTGGGAGAAAGCAGAAGTGACAACTCCGCTGACTAGAGACGGTCTATCGGAACCATATGGGCGTTTCCACTTATACGTCAGACGCATGAAATCACCTTGACATTTTGGAACTAAATTTCCACCCCCCGTATACCAAGCGGGTGTGATCTCCGCCGTTTGTCGTGCTGGCTGGCACGTTGTCCCGCCCAGGTCATTGTGCGTAATGCCCCCGAAATTTTTGCACAACTCATACAACTCACACGTACGGACACGTACATAAGGTCTCTCATGCGAGGCAGCCTGACATTTGGGCACCGCTCACATCATGCCCATGGCTAGCATGCAGTGCGATCTGAATGAAATTTAGATGGGTATTGGATGAAATTTCATCCGCGTTACGGATGGAAGCTAATGATTGACGGATTAAACAATTTTTCTGTGATTTGAAATCGCTGGCGAAATTGGATAATCTATTACAGAATCGGTCTTGGTTTTATTTTTCTGGCTGACGGCACTCTGTATTCATTTGGTCTTTTGGCGGTCAGGGTGTTTTTGTGGCCGTGTCTCATTCCAATGCGAATCGTGATGTACATTATTTTGGTGCACAACCATGCTTTACACAGCGAGCGCATTAGAGCGACCCTGCTGTTAGACCATTTATTGTCTCGTACTTCCTTGTTAGCTAACTTACTTGACCGGCTCTGCAATTGTTTAACATGCATAATGAAGTACATTTTATCTCAAATGATGAGATTTTGCAAACGTTTCAAAAAGAACTAACCGGCTCCGAGAAGATTTCCCGCTCGAGTGACCACTGCTCGGCAGATATATCGTACGCCGACGGCATCGGAGCGCTTAATGCGGGTGACCTTGAAGCGTTCTTGAAGGATCACTTCTGTGGACAAGTAAATATTCGGTGGATCTCTACATATAATCAAACGCAAGAAACATGGTAATAGGTTATAACGCGCGCGTTCGTACACATTTCTTACTGGAGTGTAGTGGTAAGCTTGTCATCGAAGCATTGAGGTGCCTGTCGGATCCGAATATACTGCTACTACTTAGGTGGTATGAGTACTTGATTCTAGGAGAAAGTACAAGTTGGTGTCTGATATACTGAACAGATTATTCATGGCTACGAAAGCCCAGCACTATGACTTACTTGTCGATATCAAATACTAGCTGGGAACTGAAACTTTGAATGTTAGACAGTTTTTCAGGTAGTTCACCATTGAAAAGCAATTTTTTGGAAGTGGCCTTCACAATAAGAAGTCGAACCAACTCGCCGATATACAGTGTAGATACCATTTTTTCAAAGCTGCCGTCAAAAGCAAAGAAACATCTGTGCTGAATCAATTTGAATATCAATATGCGCGATAAACATCTAGCGAAGGTGTTGTAGGCACACCTTGGAACAGATACATTAATCAAAA